AATTTTTTTTCTTTTCTTTTCTTTTTTCAATTTTTCGGAAAAAAACAAAAAGGCTTCAGGAAACAAACGGGGGAAAAACGTTTTTTCCCTAATTTTTCCAGTTTTTTTCCGGGCGTTCACATCTTTAATTAAATTATGCCCAAAACAGAAAAAAAAAGAATTTGATATGATTATGGTGGGAGGGGCCCAGGAAGGCAACAGTGTCTAGGCCCCACAAAAGTCATAATGCGTCCCTGGTTATGCGTCACAGTGAAAGCCAGAACCCAAAGAAGAAGGTGGGTGCACCCGCATGAAATATGTTTCCAGACACCGGCTTCAGGCAACCAGCAGTGTATCTACCAGCTACTGGGGGTACCTGCCATTCTCTTACCCACTAGCGTAGTAAGAAACTGGACGAGCGAGAAACATATCACACAGTTTATAGATCTATCGAGACTCTGTACACGCTGGGTGATCCAGATTTCTGCAACCTGAAAAGAATTCTGCAGCTCGCATCATGCGTAACACAGATGTCAGGTTGGACCCCGCATCTCTGTTCTGCACACTGTGGCATCCTCCCCTTCCCCAATGCAGTAGAAAAGAGCAAGTGTCCTGTAGCACCGTAACGACTAACAACATTTGTGGCAGGGGAGGAGCTACGGCGAGTCACTGCTCATTTCTTCACATTCTAGCTGTATCTGGAGAAGCGAGCAGTGACTCACGAAAGCTCCTCCCCCTGCCACAGATTTTGTTAAAGGTGCTCCCGGACCTCTTGTTCTTTTCTCCTGCTGCAGACCGGCTAACACGACTACCCATCCTGAAGAAGTGAGCAGTGACTCCCGAAAGCTCCTCCCCTGCCACAAATTGTGTTAGTCTTCAAGGGGCTCCTGGACCTCTTGCTCTTTTCGACTGCTGCAGACAGACCAACATGCCTACCCATCTCGAGCTGTCTCCGGTTCGCAACCCCCCCAATGCAAGGAGACGTCCCTTCCCGCACAAAAGGCCCGGTTGACTTCCACTGGCAGGAGGGTCCAATGAAAGCGGGAGAGGCCCCCTCGGGTCCAACTCGCAGTTGTGAGTCGAAACCAGAGCAGGACCTGAACGGGGCTGGGTGCGGGCAATGCTCCTGTTATCGGCCCCTGGTCTGTTTTTCTTTTCCCTTCCGTTAATCTTCTGTCACTAGATGGCGTCTTAATTCTACAATGCGGATTTGCAACTCGGATTCCCAGTCGCTTTTTCGGTGGCAGTGACGGGTACAGCAACTGGCCTGCGATTTATCCCAGAAACAGAAAGGGAACCTTTGGTACCCCCATTTCCGTGCGGGATGGAACATGTGTGGGGTGGTATATGTGCGGTAAGGAACAAAGAGTACCCCCCACAATCTCTAAGGCTGGAATTCCCGGGATCATCCCAAATTTTATCCTATTACTGTATCCGTTTTTGGAAGCCGCCCTGAGCCCGCCTGGCGGGGAGGGTGGGGTAAAAGTGAAATAAATAAATTAATTAATAAATTCTGGGAAGAATATTTATCTATTTACTTTCTTGATACCCTGCCTTTTCCCTCAGTAGGGACCCAAAGGTGCTTACATCATTCCCCTCACCTCCATTTTATCCTCACCACAGCCCTGTGAGGTAGGTTAGGCTGAGAGCGCGTGACTGGTCCACGGTCACCCGCTGAGCTTCCACGGCACAAGCGGGGATCCGAATCTGGATTTCCCAGATCCTAGCCTGACACTTTAGCCACCACATCACGTCATCTCTTCGTGACGCAAAAGGCGCAGGATAGGGTTGTCAGCTCCAGGTTGGGAAATACCTGGAGATCTGGGGTGTGGAACCGGAGGTAGGGTTGCCATGTCCTTACCTGTCGCTGGGGGGGAGATTTGGGGGGGCGTTCCAGGGATGGATGGGGACGTCGTCGACACGATGACATCGCTTCCGGGAATGACATCGTTGTGTCGGTTGCGTCGAGGCGGCGCTCTGCTTTTGGGGCAAAACTCTATTGTAACACTGGCTGCAAACCATAGAGTTTTGCTTAAAAGGTAGAGTGTCATCCCCGACATCACCGATGCAATAACATCAGTTCCGGAAGTGACGTCCAGGGGTCATTTCTTGTTTACTCTGGGGAAACTGATCTCTCTAGACTGGAGAGTCCCCTTCTTCTCAGAAACAGTCAGGGGTCATTTCCTGCAGGAGCGCACAGGGGCGGAGCTCCAGCAGTAAAGAGCCCAGGGGGCGGGCACATGCAACAAGCCCCACCCCCTGCTCCCAACAGCCCTCAGTCAGAGCAAGAAGCAGCCAGGTAAGTTGCAGAGCCCCGCCCCACGGCCCTCCGATCCAAAACAGTCCAGTGGCACCTTTAAGGCCAAGTTTTATTCAGGTACAAGCTCTCCCTCCTCTGCGAGGGCAGATCTGCACGTTTCCCCCCCCCCCCATAGCTAGCAATCCAAAACAGTCCAGTGGAGCCTGAGCGGTGGGTGTTGCCTT